TATGATGCATTGCTCAAAGTGAGTGAGTGATTCTACAGAAACGAAAGCCAAATTGTTCATGTTACAATATATATATACAATATTTTTTGCCTTTCCACTCCGACCAATTGGAGTCGCCACAATGCGACTCACGGCAGGTTTTCCCTGAGTTTTTGCACTTGGATTCCCTTCCAGACACAGTACCTGGCATTTATCTGAACTTGGAACGGTAACAAACAGGACACAGAACACCAGGGTTCATTTGAGGCTGCATTTCAGACAACTAGGGGGGTCCAGTGTCTCTCCCAAAGACACCTTGACGTGCGGCCTGGGATCGAACCACCTCTAGCCGGCGACTTGCTCACAGTGGCCCCCAAAAGAGAAAAAATAATACAAGTTTGTGGTGGTTTTCTGCCAAGTTTTTAAAAGAAAATGGCCTCATAGGACAAGGACGCGTGCTGCTCCCTGGTAAAAATCTTCTTTCTGTGATATTTTCCAGTGTAAATGTGCACAGTACAGACTCAGTTTAACTAAACCACTTAAAAACACATCTGACAGTATCTATTAGCGGACAAACAGCACCGAAAAAGAAGCGTGAAAAGCACCGAGAGCCTGCAGCAGCACGCATGGTAATCACAAATATCGACACATTTAGCAAACATTGCAGGAAGCGATCATTTTCCCAACATTTCACGCTCCAGTGAAGGCACCCTTAAAGCTCTCCGGCCTCCAGTCTGTGGATAAGAGGGCACAGTTCACCTTCCCCATCACATTAGTCTGCCGTCTGTAGATTATCTTTCCCTGGAAGGGTGCTGGCCAGCCATCTGTGTCTGCATGACTCAGTCATCACTTGGACTGATTAAACACACAGAAGCCAGGATGACAAACACATTTCTCAAGCCAGCTTGACCCCGTCATCACGGCTGTAATCCAGCAAGGAGTAAGTCAGAGACAAAGCTGGAGGGAGATGATATGTGAACCCAAAATAGAACACGCCGCAGAAAAACACACGGCCTGTTTCTTTTGTTTTTCTTTATGGAGTCATTAGTCTCTAACACTACAGTTTATGTCATAACATCAACATGTGTGATTCATGCTCTCATTTGTTTTGTGGTTTAAAATAAGAGATAGATAAAGGAAAACCTCACTTATGGCTTTTTGGGACAGGTCGAGTCAAATGTTAAACAAATCCCCCAGATGATTTTTTAACAACTGAAAACATTTGAGGGATTTTGCTGTTTTAGTATGAGAAGCCTCACATTTTGTGTCTAACGTAGGTTAAAGGACCTTCCACAAGTTTTCACCTTTGCGGAAGGATGGTATCAGGTGATGGTTTCACCCATCTGAAGAACAAACATACTGTGCTATTCACAGAGGTCTGTAGAAATGAAAAAAATTAGCCGAGCAGAAAAGGGATGAGATGGTAGGGAATTTTAGAATAGGATGAGATACACACTTTTATTTTTATGTAATCTGTTTTCAAAATATGTTCTCACTCTCACAAACAGTATTTCGTTAGTGACAAATCCCAACACATATGCTGTCTACTTGAGTGGATATCTGGAAAAGTCCTTGAATAAACACGATTTTGAGAATTTTTTTAATGCCTTAAGGAAATCAAAAACACTTTGGGGAAAAAGATCCTGAGTGAAATTATCAGAATTGAGGGATGAAAGGGTTAAAAAGTCTGTAAACTGTATCTAAACCAGTGGAAAATGTACTACAGATTTTAATATGTCGATGGAAGAACATAGTTTTTAATCTTGTTAAAAGATTGTTGGTTTAAGGTCATTTTTATAGGTCATTTTTCTCAAAATAATTTAAACATTCTTCCTTTACAAACAATACAATGTCCTAGGTGAATCAAACCAAAGAGAGCATCATTTGAATTTATCAGTAACAAAAATCTGTCAGTGCCCCCAATGTCTACTGAGCAGTTTGCCAAAACAAACATAATAAAAAAGTCAAATTACAAACCGGGGCCTCAGCCAATGAGCTCCAAGTAACCTGATCGGGATTAACCCAGTCATTAAAGTGGGAAATTCTTGGCAAAGGCAGGGCACAATTATCTCTCTACATTAGAGAGCACTATCCAGGAGAGAGGCTCTGGGTACCCAGTGCTCCTCCGGCCTTAAATAATTAAGACTGAACAGAGCAACTGAATCAGTCAGGCAACTCTGAATCAGCAATTTCACTCTGAGTTTCTAAACTTTGACACGCAGTGCACTTCAGGTTGGTCATCCTCTTCCTTTGACTGAAACGTAGGCATCCTGTATGATGTTAAGGGTCAAAGGTCGAGCTCTTCTATTCAGAATGTTTTTATTTTTGGATTGACAGACTTTACACACAACCGATTTATGCATCACAATGTCCAAGTCAGCATTTTTGCCCTAAGTTAGCTAAATTCGTGCGACTCTAAACAAGCCACAGTGGGTTTTCCACATGTTCTGCACACACACACACACACACACCGGCCTGCGTGTGCAATTAGGTCAGTAGAACTCTCTGCAGACAAACTCGTAAATTATTGATAAGATTGAGTCAATCCAATTTTGCACATCGGCTTTTGCCAGAATGAATGAGAGCTCTATACTGAGGAAACCTCCCAAAATTTATGTGTGTGGGGTTTTTAAGATGGAAGATAATGAGTGTTCTCAGACACTGATTACAAACTATTGGCTTTTTCTTGTTATCCTCTGTCACATGCTCTGCCAGGGAGGGGGGGGGGAGAAAGATCAAAACACTCCGACTCAAATCACAAACCTGGATCTTAAACTGGTAAAAGTCTAATACTTTCATGTTTTTTTTGTTTTTTGGTGTGCTGGATTTGAATATAGCGTCATTTATTTTGGAATTGAAACAGGAATGGTGTCTCACACAGCTGAGAATGTAACCTATGGCAACCAAGCAGGTTAGTCTGGTTGGAAGGCTGAGACTTAAATACTTACGTTTATCATCATTGATGAAATATTTGGGTCAAAATCAGAGGAATGTGGTAAAAGAAAACAGAGATCACTTGAAAACAGCTTGCTTATTTACATGAACCTAGCTAGGATTTAAATGGATTTGAATCAGAAGTCATCAAAGGCAGTGATGGACGGTCTTTTTTATGTTTTTGACAAAGTGAGGCAAAAGACATGGTCGTAAACTTGACCTTTATGAAAGATCCCTTGGGCTCAGATCCGTGGGTTGCCTTGTCCTCTGACTGTGTTTTTAGTTAACAGATTATTTCCCAAGGCCAAATTCCTTGGGAGCCAGCTCTGGTCATGAAAAGGAAATAAAACAAGTGTGATACAAATATCAACCAAAATGAAAAGTAACAGGTTTGTGAGGTGGCGCTGATTAAAACGCCGAGGTTCTGTTCTTTCTGTGCCGAATGAACCAGAGGAATGGAAGCTAAAGCAGCTCAGGAATGACCAGTGTTTGAAAACCTTTGCTTTTCTGGTGGCTCCAGTCTGACTTGGTTTTTAAGCTTTATCTTCCCCTTTTTCAAGAAACCCTGTGATTCTCCAAAGGGAACCGACAGTTCTCTTTTGTGGCTGGCATTTGGATTACGCATTAAAAAAAAAACACCCGCATAAAAACAGGGAACTGTCCCTTTAACTCTTAGAAAAAGAGAATTCTTTTTTCCCCCCTCCAGGTATTAACTCAGACAGTGTGCCAAAGTCAGCTGACGGTGCTCACAATGTCTCCCTCTCTGTGTGGGAGTTTCTAAGAAGGACTGACTGAGGGGAGCAAATAGAAGGACAGAGAGAGAGAGAGATAGATAGAGAGATAGAGAAAAGTCATGAGGTTGTGTGTTGCTTGCTAATATTTTACAGTGTCTTCAGAAAACAAACCAACTGCCGTGGGGCATTCAAAGGCCAACGGAGATCATTAAATTGATCCACTCTGTACAAATCTGTACAGTAACACGATCCCTCTGTGTGGACTCGAACACAGCTGTGATTGTAACCACCATATTTGTCTGTGGCAGCGATTCTGTTATAAGAAAAACAAAAACAAAAACAACAACAAAAGCGGTTACCCACTGGTTTAGGAGTTAAAGGCAGTTCCGAAGAGACAGGTGGAGAGCATCAACATCTGTGGGCCTTTAGAGCTTTTTAAGCCTTCAAAGGAAAAAAAAAGAAAGAAAAAAAGCGACGGCAGGACTGATAGAAATCAATCCCCTGTGGTGCTCCAGCTAAGGACTACAGTAAACTGTCAGGCACACAGCAGGGCACCCCGGGAGGTGGAATCAGGCAGTCCCGGACAAATCTCGACAAACAAACACAAACGGCCGGATGCGACCCACACAGGCCTTTCTGAACCTTTCCGGTTCATCACAGGATCTGCGGGCAACTCCCGGGTGTGGGATGGGGTCATCGCAGAGAGAATTTACGCCCAATTTCAGTCCCTTCTAAGTCACGCCGTGTCGAGTGTTCGGCAAAAAACAAAAATCCAAGCTAAGCCACAGCAGCTGCGCCTGAAAAAGAAATTAGCACAATCTTGGGCAAGTAGAAGACACTATATCCTAATCAAACCCACTCATGGCCGATCCACAGCAGGTCTGAGGGGCCGTGGGGAGAAAGATGACTCACTTCTAGGCTGCCGGGGACGGTCAACGCGGTGGTCAAATGTCCTAAAAGACTGAAAAAAAACAAAACAAGAGTTGGAACATAAAGGGCCAACAGGACTCGGTTCGAAAAAATAGAGATGGAAACAATAGAGTAACAGCCCATGGCGAAAACTGGATCCAGAAGATTTCAATAGGATTGCAATAGGACTTCAATAGGATTTCAATAGGATTCCAATAGGATTCCAATAGGATTCCAATAGGATTCCAA